AAGAATAAAATGACTACTGCCATATGGGACGCGCAGGTATAGAAGGCTTTGCGTTTCCCTTCCAAACCATGAGTCTTAAGGGAGTGTAATATGACCCCATAGGAAACTAGGAGAATGAAGAAGACAACAGTGCAAATTGCCCCTCCGTTAGCCATCATAGAAAGTCCAATGAGGGAGGTATTGGTGCAAGTAAGTTTCAATAAGGGGTACACGTCACACAGGAAGTTATCAATGACATTGGGGCCACAGAAAGAGAGCTGATAAATAAAGAGAAATTGAACCAATGAGTGCAGAAAGCCTCCAGTCCAGGCCACGAGCAGCATGAGAACACATACCCGCTGATTCATGATGATCAAATAATAAAGAGGTTTACAGATGGCCACATATCGGTCATAGGCCATCACCACCAGAAGAATGACTTCAGCACCAGCAATGAAATGATCCATAAAGACTTGAGCCATACAGGCACGGAAGGAAATTGTCTTTTTATCATACAGCAAGTCTACAATCATTTTTGGAGCAATGGTGGTAGAATAGACAGCATCTATAAATGATAAATAAGCCAGAAAGAAGTACATGGGGGACCCCAGTGACTGGCTGGCTCTGATGGTCACCATGATTAGCAGATTGCCCACTAGCGTCACAATGTAGATGAGTAAGAATGCAACAAAGAGAACTCTTTGTCCCTCAAGGCTTTGTGTGAGACCCAGGAGGATAAATTCAGTCACATTGTTCCTATTTTCCATGTGTTCTCCCGAAGGTGTGGCACTCAGGTGTCAAAGGCTGCAAACAAAAGGGCCAATAAGAATTTGAGAGGATCGCAAGCTTTATGTAAAAAATGTGATTCCTTACTCAACAGTGTTTACCTCACACAGAGTAACTCTAGAAAATGAGAGTTGCAATTTCCTCCACGATTACGCCATTCATTTCCACAAATTTCTTGCTTCAACTATATACAATGATGAGACTCCGGTATTCTATCTGGGAGGCATTATGTGAGTGCACATATCTGAGATGGTCTACTGCACAACAGAAAAGCTGCTTGCTTTCTCCAGAGTGTCTCTCACAAAGAAGGCATATTTTACATTATGTATCACCTCTTCTTATCTTCTTGAAAGATTTTTGGCCTTCTAAGGTCCACCATGAAAACAATCGCATCTCTAATTTTTTACATATTTACATAAATAGTATCTAATATAGGAGCATAAAATTATAGGCTGACGTTTAGATGAATGCCTTTGTGAGTTATTTTACTATGAGCTCCAAAAATTGAGGAATAAGTCACCCACAACAATGAAAGAACCAGACACATCATGAGTGCTCATTAAATGCTTATTGAACTTTAATTAATCAATTTTACAACTCATCAGAGATCAACTGAGTAGAAACAAATGTATTAAATTCTTCCCAGCCAAGAAAGTAATGTTTCGTCTGAGAATACACACATGCACGCGCGCGCGCGCGCGCGCGCACACACACACACACACACACACACACACACACACACACACTAAATTGACATTTATTACAATATAGGTTATTGGAGAGAAACAAAGGGATACTACCAAAAAATGTGTATAGGTATTACAATGATATTTTACTTACTTTCCAAAATTTTTTAGAATTGATTATTGCTGACCATAACTCAATTCAGAATGCAAAAAATTAAAAAGATTTTAGGCAGATCATGGTATAGTAGAATTCTATACTAAAAATCTGGAAATATTATTTAATTTTGCTCAGTCACCTTGGAAAAATCACATCCCAACTCATATTCGTATTAGAAAGGTTGTAATCTTTCCAGATGTGTGCATTTCTGAATTCTTCTTATTGAAACCTTTATCCTAAATGTAACACTTTTGCTGGTAGTCTATCTTTATATTAATCAGATGAATTAGCCTATGTTCAAGGTTATTTGATTAATCAATCGATTAAACCAGTTATTTTGCTCATATTGCTAGTTCTTGGTTATCTGAGTCTCTGTGGAATACAACACATTCATTCTCACTGGGGAAAAGCAATCATCTGTTGACCTTCTTAGATACAACCCAGGGCCAATTTTACATGTCATTTAGTGTTAAAAGAATTATTTTAAATGTGCTTCATTTTAGTGTCTACATTTGTAGGCCATCATTTGTAAAGGGCAGTGAGTTATTCTAGGAGATTTGCCCTTCTAGGCAAGCTAATTTGTAATCAAGCATCAGTGGAAGAATAAAAGTGTAGAGAGAGAAAATAAGAGGTAACTGAGAAAAGGCTGATAGAAACCAGCAAAGACCATAAGCCAAATGGAATATGCTTTGAAATTGATAACAGTTTGGTTTGGGGGGCTGGAATGACTTAGGAGTAGAGGAATTTCAGATTTCCTAAGATGTCAATTCGGAGGTGAACTGTACCATAACTCAGCCTCAGTGCCAGGATTTTCCTCTCAGAACCTTTATACTTCCAGACCAAAGAAAAATGAGAAAGTCAAATTCTAAACTTTAAGATATACCAGTAGAAGAAACTAGCTGCCTAACGGTATTCCATCTTCAGGGCTCCTGGAAGTTCATTGCACATATATGTAAATATCTTCACTTACAATTATGAAGCTATATCTGCATTTATAATGGAAAGTAAGTACTCACAATTCATAGGAGATGTCTGAGCATTCAAGAGATAACTTCCGGTAGAAGGATCTAACACCTTGACCTGTTGGGTGCCTACAACACTTATATGTAGCTGTGCTTCTGTCATCTGTTGGGTCTGTCAGGATAGTAAACATATCTCATCAACAACTGTATCTCCAGAATCTATAATTGTCCCTCATGGATTTTAAGTGGTTAATAAATATTTGTCTATTAAAATGTTCTTGTGAACATAATTATTACTCTGAATTATTTGAAAACGTTAATTTGACTCAGAATGATACAAAATTCTATACTTTATCAATATTGTCTTTTATTAAAGAATATATATGGGGGCCGGCCGAGTGGCGCAATGGTTGGGAGCTGGCTTGGGATGCCCGAGGGCCCCGGTTCGGATCCCACATATGAGGGCCAGTGACACTGCCCTCCGCAGCTGGGATGCTGAGCAACAGCTCAACCTGGAGCTGGGCTGCCGTGAGTCACTGGTGACGGCGTGGGCTGCAGCCCCTGTGGCAGTGCGTTGCCATGGGCTGCCGTGTGTAGCCAGCAGCCAGCGTGAGCGGCCAGCAGCCAGCGTGATCGGCCGTCCAGAGGCCGGCGACTGATCTGCCTAGCCCGGGAAGAGCACAATGATGGTGCCAGCTTGGGCCAGTGGAGCAACGTCCTCCACAACTAGACTGAAGAACAAAACGACAGCAATTTGTCTGTTCCCCTTCCCCCAATTCCCCAACACTGTTCCTATCCCCCCAATTCCCCAATTTAAAAAAAAATCTTTAAAAAAAAAGAAAGAATATATATGTACTTCAAATATTTGTGAGAGTCTTCAAATTGCTGAACATATTCAATGAGATAAAAAAAATCGCTAAGGAATGGTCAACAATGTAAATCCATGATAATTATCCCACAATGACAATGAAAACAAGATAAATTCAGTAGATCTACACAACGCCAAATTCAACAACATAAGATAGAAAAACAAGCCACTTATATAGTATACAAGGTGTAAAATATTGGGAAATACTTTCATTAGCAAGATATTAAAAATTATAGGCTCTGAAATTTTAAGTTTCAGTCTATATCCTTTTCAAACACAATCACAGTCCATGCCTACATGTTTCTATTGAATTGTCTGTATAGTAAAACCTGTTTGCCATGTAAGCAATAGCTTTTTGTTAATTAATTGAGCAGAGACCATAAAAATGATGCAGCAAAAATTTTGAGGTCCTAATAAATATCTGAGATCTGATTTTTTTTAAATAAAAAAAGATTCATTTTAAAGAAATATCACAGTTTCCAAGTCAATTTCCTCATAGTAAAGAAAAAAAGCTACCTCTAAAACCTGAATGTGGCTGAACAGACTTGTGGGACAAATATAGAAAAATAACAATCAGAGAGGGTAGCGTGCCTATATCATATATATGCATAGTCTTTGTCAGCGTTTTATTTGTTTGTTTGTTTTGTTTTATAATTTTGCAGAGGTGGCCCTGGATGCCTGCCGTGTACTTTATGAGAATTCAGGTTCTAAATTCTGGTTGGGTATTTGAGCCTTAGTATCTATACTTACCAACCCTGTGACCTTGGATAAATTACTCAATATCACCTGTAGAATGAGACTCATAATAGCATCTAACATGTAGGATGGTTTTAAGGATTAAACAGAGTAATGCATATAAAGCTCTCTGAAAATTGCCTGACAAATAGTCACTAAATTCAAGATATTTATTTATATTAAATATACTGTTACTTATTTCCCCATGTAACTTTAGTGCCACATCTCTGCAATTAGTTTTATATGAGTTTCCCCAAATTATCCAAAGGAACATTCCCTGAGGGATGGGGGAATTGAATGGGTCATTATTGTATACAATTATGGAAACTATACTTTTTTACCATTTGTATCACTGCATGGAAATTTCCTTGGCTGTCTTTCTCCATACCTCATTGTCCTCTTTGAAATTTATCATTAAAACTAATCTAAGGGATCTTCTTTTTCTAAATTAAGAGGTCAACTGGATGCATATTATGATGTGTGCAATTTCATTCACAATATTTTTAAGACCCTAAAGATGGGAAAATACCTAGGCAATTAATTCACAGACAGAAATAGATGTTGGCATTTTCTTTTGTATTCTGTAGTTTTTGTATCTAACAAAGTTCATGAGTTCTATTTCCACAGACACTAAAATTCACTTTCTAATAAGGTATAATAAGTACGGGTCTTATGAGTTTAATAAATAAATTTCTCTGAACTCATGTTTTCACATTGTAAGTTTTTACTTTCCCTTTGTAATACAGGGCTACTAATTTACATATCGAAATGTTATTTGGGGTATAGCCACAAAAGAACAGGAACTAGAGATTTGAACATGTTCACTGCAGCATGATTCCCAATAGCCAAAAGATGGAAACAAATGTCTATCAAATACTGAATGTATAAACACATTGTGGTATATACAGACAATGGAATATTACTGAGCCTTCAATAGGAAATTCTAACACATGCTACAACATGGATGAATCTTGAAAACATTATGCTAAATACAATAAGTCAGGCACAAATATTTTATGATCTCCCTTCTATGAAGTACCTAGAAAAGTTATACACACAGAAATAGAAAGTACAATAATGGTTGCTAGGGGCAGAGGGGGGAAGGAAATGAGGAGTTATTGTTTAACGAGTGTAGAGTTTCAGTTTGGGATGATTAAAAAGTCCTGGAAATGAATGTGGCAATGAATGCACAATACTGTTAGGTATATTTTACCACAAAAAAAAAAAACACTACCAACAGAAATGAAATCTCTACACAGAGCCACAGCATTTAAAGACACCACACACACAATAACAATTTATAAAGAGCTATAGTAATCCCTACTATTATCATCAATGTATTAAGATACAAAATAACTTGGATTCCCCATAAAAAGCACTCTAAGAAAGTTATCGTGGAGACCTTATACATGTCACATTATATTGTTATGTTATGCTATGTGTTTTCTCTATTTCAGTTTGCATTTAAACAACTCTAGTACAAAATATTGAAGAAAATTACTTGTCATTGTGCTTATTCAATATTTTACGAAATGGAGAAAATGTATGTACTACTATATTTCTAGAGCTTCTGGCATAAAACATTTGAGATAAAATGATAAAATCTGTTCTTAAGAAA